TGATGATGATGATGATGATGATGAAATCCAGAAAGCCGAATCCGGACAAAAGTCTCCGAGCAACTGAAAAATAAATAGGTTGATGCTTGATAATGATATTTGCCTATCGTTAATTTTTGTGTAATTGGAAAGTGATAATTTTACGTACACAAGCTGAGCAGCGGAAGTATGTCATACTGATACGTAAGAAGCGTGATCAGGTAACGGGATAGTTCCTAGATAGATGCACCCTGCAGGAAACCGCAGTCAAACTCCAGCCGGGATATTCAACTGCGGCGACCCAAGCGGTGATGCTACGGTCATGAAGGGCATAACACATTCAGATTGTGACAAGTGGTTCAGCACCTGAGCAAAATTTAGCACCACTGAATGACCCACACACAGCACTCAAGTCATCATCATTACCAGCTGTAGAAACCGCGTACTTGTCGTACAGTAGTTGTGGATGCCACAATTTCGTCTATCGATGATTTCGGGAGGTAGGGCAGGTAGCTGTGCATTGGAGGCGGGAAGCGATAAGTTGGTGCTTAGTTACATGGTTTGTCAGTAGACCTTTGAGTGGGGGAGTCGGGAAGGAAGATAAAAATTGAAGACAATAGATTGGATGCACGATCGCCGTTGAGGGCGCAGCTGGGTCATGTCTGACGATGTCTCCAGTCACTGATGTGGCCCATCTCAGAGTCCCGATTCCAAGAAAATGCCAATGACCGGCGCAGCCGAGTTTGCTGGCAATGGCTTTTATACTTCGCTACCAAGTCACCGTTCGACCTTCCCTGGCTCGCTTCCACCCTTCGAGTGGTTCTGCAAAAAGAACTTTTCGAGGAAGTCGGCCGACTGACATAGGGAGCACTTGGCCAAGCCAAACCTGTGCAGTGTGACCAGTTCATCTGTTGTGGCCGATTTATTTCTTCCAAATACCATTCGGCGTGTTTCAGCATTGCTAATCCGGTGTTCCCACCAGACTCGGACAATTCTCCGAAGACATCGGTGGTCAAACACTGAAAGTCTTTCAACGTCTTCGGCGCACAGCGGCCACGTTTCTGACCTGTGTATCAATATGGGTCGCACCGCAACACTGTAAACGGGACCCTTGACAGATAAGCTGATGTCACGCCCGCTCCACAGGTGACGCATGTTAACAAAAGCTGTTCTGGCCTTCCCAATCCGGACGGAAATATCATTCGCCAGGTTTGATGCAGCTACCCAGGTGGACATACCTGTCTACCACCCCAAGCGGCTCATTCGCAAATGTGGGGCTAAGGTTCGGGCCTAACATGGCTCTGAGAACCATGTCGGATTAGCCCTCTTCTGAAAGCTCTAATTGCGGTTACCACCCGCCAAGAGATAAACTGTACTAAGAAAAACTGGCCAACATGAACCAGGGATAAGAAAGGCCCAAGTAACAACCCTTCATACACGTCACCTAGCAAGAGCTCTAAATGCTTGCGTCTTGCGAACCGTTTCGCAAGCGAAGGCCACTGTGCCTTAATATAAGGTGTTTGAAGGTATTCGACGAAACAGGTAAGTTTACTGGCAACAAAACTCATGAATAAAAGGTGTTAAAGCTAATACGAGTTTGAAGAGTGATTTCCAAGTATCAAGAGTGGGGGAATTGCGCCATTGAAGGATACTATAGAACAAAATTATCAGTGCCATTTTTAATGAGCAGGTTAGCTTGATGAGCTGGCGTAGAGTGCGGAGAAAAC